TTTATATTATAAAACTTCTAACAGCAGACACTACTGAGTCTGAATAATTCAACTTCCATTGCACTGCTCCAAAAATCTAATATAGAGCTATTGGCTCTAAGCAAATTCTTAGAAAAAACTTGAAAGGAAGTAAGTGATCATGAAAGAAAATGTACTTAAAACATTTAATTCCTATTATTAAAAGGCATGATTACAAAAGTAATATTATATTTATTATAAAGTAAAACCAAACTATGTATTCTAGGGTATAATGATTAAAGGATATGGTGCACCATTTTCACCTAAACAATTACTTTCCCAAGAGAAATAATTACTTATATAAGACCACAAGCATCTTCTACTATATGCAAAACTCCCAAATTATCACTTAGGCTTGAAGTTGTAAGTTGAAAATACATTTTAATGTACACTTACTAAATGTAACTCATCGACTAGTTAGTTTAATTATAGTGGGTCACAGGAGAAACTGAGTTTACTTGGGTTTATGGTGCTAAAAAGGACAGTTTTCTACTCCTTAACTTTAAAGCTATGTATAACCTTAAAAGTACAAGCATTAAAAAGTTAATTCTTGATATATTTATTATTTGAAACCCTCAGGATGATGGGATCCTCAAAAAAGAAGCAATCAAAATTACAGATACTATCCCGTGAATTTACATAAAAAGCCTTCATGGTACAGTGGTCAAGTCCTTACCTCCTAGCTGAAAAGACAGCAGTTTGAACCCAACAGTCATTCTCTAGAGCAAAAAGATGTGACAGTCTACTTTCACAAGTACAGGAACGAAATCAATGAAATCAACAAAAAAATCGTACTCTTTTTCACTGTGAGAAATGTTAGTTTATGTTCCTTAACATGAAGTGTCCATTCTAACTACATTAAGAGGGTGCACACTTCTTGAAAAAAAATTAAAAGTTAGTTATTTTCCAACTATAAGTCATAAACTAGATACGGGACGTTAAATTTTAAAACGAAGTATTTTTTTAAATCTAATACTAGAAGGAGAGATAGCAAGCATTAATAACTGGCCAAATTAATAAGGATTTAATTGATCACCTAATAACAACACGACAATAAGTAATGTCCATCTTTCTCTCAAGGATGGATTCATACCGCTGAGCTTTCAGTTAACAGCCTGACATGCTGTTACACACTAGACCACCAGGGATTCTTCTGGAGCATATAACCAAGTGGTATATAGATATTTCTGGTTTTCAAAGTAAATTTAAAACAAGAATATGGTGGAAATTGGAGGATTGTTTCTCAGAGCTTCCTTCTTTCCTCCCAAAATACCACCTCTTTATATTCATTCAGGATAAGTACATTCTCTATTTTCTAATACTATATAGAAAAGTACAATCCTATAGGTCCTGATGCCCAAGAAACTACCAGCATTAAGAATTGAGAAGTTTCTTCTGAATCTTAATTTATCATATATTGAAGTTTTATTATAGGTTAGGTAATTAAGTAGCCTATAATTTGTTAGATATTCTTGACTTACATGTGGAACCACCAGTTATTCAGGCAGTGAGTTGTGATTTCCATAACCATTTTAGGAAGGACCTAAATTAAATTAGCTCAAATTTTGTTTGGCTTTCTTCTCTGGAGTATTCACATACCTCACTGACTAAAGAATAATTTTAAAAAAAAGAATTAATAATTCCATTTAATCTCAGTTAATCTGCTTCTTCAGTATTTAGTGTCTCAGTTTTCAATAAGAATCTGCACAAAAAGACTTGTGTGCAATTAATAGAAAACTTTATTTACTATCTTTATGTCAAGAAACCATCTCATTTAAAAAAATTTTTTTTTTTACTAAAAATTTATGTTTTATTACTCTGTTGTAGTCTGAAATAGAGCTGGTAAAAAAGCAAATACACAGAGCAATAGATCTGGATATACTTGTAAGAAAGAACGCACAACAACAAAGAACTAAGGATTGAGATACAAGTTCAAAGTCAAGGAAGAATCATCTCAACTCATTGCTGTCACTACATCCTTCAGCAGGTTTCCAAGGTTGTAATCACTCAGGAAAAGACTGCTCTTCTTTCTCCATAAAGCTGCTGGTGGATTTAGATCACCAGAGAAAGCCATCTCATTTTAATTTAAAAAATAAAGTATCAACTTACAATTTACAATTTTAACCATAGACAATAAATTTGCATTTAAAACAAACACAAGTGGGTCAGGGCCACCATCCTCCAGCTGCTGCATTACTGAAATCTGTGATGGTCTCTCTTCCACAGCGTAATCTGCAAGGGGAGAAAACAATATACAGATTGGTAAAAAGGTGAAATCAAGAGAGAAATTTAATGAAGGGATATACTGATTAGTCACAAGAGACTGACAGCAACTAACTGGTCCTGCTTTGAGCCTATGATCCAGACTCATGGTAATAGTACCCTTTTCACTCTCTAAAATTATACAAATTGAGTGATAATATGCGTAGACTATTTATAGATTGCTCCCACTTGCCAAAATGGTATTTTATATCATCTACCATACCTCTATTATTTAACAAAAATTCTCCAATTTTCTGTCATAACAAGCATTTTACATATTTTAGGTACTAAAATCAATACTTAAAATAATCCATAGTAATAAAAAAATGGGTCAAGGGAAGAGCCTACTGTTTTCATTTCACTCCATAGTTTCATTTGGGTAGTTCTGTTATTCTTTAACCAGTGATTTATCACCAACTCACTAGTATATCATGCTTCAGATTATGAATATGGACAATACTTGAAGACTATCTTCTGTTTAGTCAGCCACTTCATATTAAATGATAGTGGTTATCTCACATGAAGCTACAATCACGTGAAATAATCGTGTGTAATCTAAAGATGATGAGGCTTCATCTCTGGACATGTAGATACATGAGTCTATTCCTTGGAAAGGGACATCAGACTTGGAAGAAAGGAGGGTCAGAGAAAGAGAGGAAGACCTCCAACGAGATGGACTGACACAGTGACTGCAGCAATGGGCTCAAGAGTGTCAGAGAGGAGGAGGATGTACAGGATAGGACAGGATTCAAGTCTGCTGTTTATAGGGTAGCTATGAGTTATACTCAACCTGACAGAACCTAACAACAACAATATAAAGGTATGGGGAAGAAACTGACAACCAAAAGTAATATGTTTTTTGGTTTGATTCAAGTAGCATTAAGGAGCAGCTTAGTACAAACATCATGTCCCACTGATCAAGAAAAACAAGCAAGCAAAAAAAAAAATTCTATATATTTTTAGATGAAATAGAAAATGTCCAACCAATTATCAAAGACATGTTTTATCGGAAAGAAAGTATCAAATGAACAACTTTTTATGAAATCATCCAAGTGAAACACAACTTCGCAACCTTTTTCTGAAGAGAGGGTGCTATTGCTAGGTGTTCAGTAGATTCCAATTCACAGCTATCCTATGTGACAGAGCAGAGCTGCCTCACAGGACTTTTCTGGGTTGTAATTTTTTCCAAGAGCAGATTGCCAGGTTGTTCTCCACTGGGTAGTTTGGCTGTCTTTCTTTTGGCAGGAAATAATTTAAAAATTTAGGGAATAATTAAGTATATACTAATAACTAGTTTTTCTTTCTTAGTGAGAGGGGTTTGAATTTAATGGATATGACTGTGTAAATTGACTTCTTTTTAAGGATTGAGTATGCCAACTTAACACCCTATTAGTTTAAGATTTATCAAAATAACTAAAAATTGCAATCTAAGCAATTTTACTAATGGGTATTTTTAGGGATTCTGTAAAAGGAACAAAATGTATTACTCAAAGAACACTAACCTTATGCCTATTCATTGTTGAACTATCTGGGACACAGCTGCATTTGACAGTTCAAAGTATTTAGCCAACATTTGCTAAAAAGAGCACAATGAATCATGGATTGAATTGTTTCCTCCAAACTATATGTTAGCTTAGCTGGGCCATGATTCTCAATAGTTTGGCAGTTATATAATAATGTATTCATGCCCCATGATATGATCTTATTTGACCAGACTAAATCTAAGGGGACAGCATGGGCTGGCAATACCCCTAGTCAGGTGAGAGCCCTTATCTTATGTAAGGGCAATTTCCCTGGGGCGTGTGGACCTACTGTCTCCAGGAAAGAGAGCCAGGAGTAGAGTATATCCTTTGGATCCAGGGTACCTGTGCTGGGAACCTCCTAAAGCCAGAAAATACAGAGAAAGCCTTCCCCTAGAGCTGGCCAATGAATTGAAACTTCTAGCCTCCTCAACTGTAACAGAATAAATTTCTCTTAAAGATACCTATTTCTGATGTTTTTGCTACAGTAGCACTAGATAACTAAAACATAATGTAAGAAGAAACAGAATACAGATCAATAAAGACTGCAGGAACTCACAGCCTAAATTTAAGGTGAATCACCCTTATAAAATGCCTAACCTAAAATCAAGTGCTAACTTAGTAACAGTTAATAAAATTTGCTATAAAAACAGAGATGAGGAAGTAAAATATGATGTAGAAAGCCCACGTAACTATTCAGGGAAGAGTTATTTATTAGGCTTTATTCTGAAAGGATGAACCATTCCTAAAGCCAGAAGAGTACAGAAGGGTATTTTATGCAAAGGAAAGGAAGACAAGGTAAATATTAAATACTATGCACCAGAATGAAAGGTCATCTTGGTTGGTAGAGGGTCAGACAAACAACAAATAAACAAAGATGAACCTCACAAAGATGGATTGACACAGTGGCTGTAACAACGGCAATGACTGATGATGGTGCAGGATCATGCAATGTTTTGTTCTGTTGAACATATTGTTGCTGTGAATCAGAATCTATTCTATGACACCGAACAACATGGAAAAGAGATGCTCTTGCTTGTAATTTCAGGTATTAATTTTATTTGATACTCACAATCACACTTAAGTTCACCTATGTCTTAGTTATCTAGTGCTGTTATAACAGATATCCTAAATGGATGGATGTAACAAAAATAAATTTATTCTCTTACACGTTAATAGGCCAAAAGTCTAATACCAGGGTCTTGGCTCTAGGTTGAGTCTTTTCCTTTCTGTCAGTTCTGGAGTCTGGCATTCCTTGGAGATATCCAAGAAATAGAAATATATATTTGCATATATATTTATATGTTGTTGTTGTTATGTGTCGTCGAGTCGCTTGCGACTCATAGCGACCCTATGTACAACAGCCCTAAACTCCGCTCTGTCCTGTGCCAATCGCACTGTCTCATATATTTCTATTAAAAAAAAATACAGTATATCATATTTTTTCTAAAATAGAATCCACAGGTGCTTCGTAGAAAAAAGATGGGCAGTCTCCTCCTATGTGATTTACTGCCTCTGAAAAACCAATCAAGGGTCAGTTAAGTTTTGCTGTTGTTTTTGTGTTCAATGGTATACAACAATGATCATTCATAATGTGTGTGTGTGTGGGGGTGTGTGTGTGTGTTGTTCTTAATGTGTGGTCAAGTCGCTTGTGACTCACAGAAACCCTATGTACAACAGCCTTGAACTCTGCTATTTTTTTAAAAATTTATACTAGTTTATTTACAAAATTCTAATCTACTGTTTTTCAGACCAGATTCTTAAAATTTCCCTCACCCCTCCACCCATTAAATTGTACAACCCCATGATTAATCCAACCCTGCACATCTTCATCCTTCTGCTTCCAACCGCCCCCCCATCTTCACATTCATTCTACAATAATGATTTTATACAATATTTGTCCCTGTAGGAATGAGTTCACTCAGCATAATACTCTCCAGTCCCTCCCAAGTTAGGTAATAATTTACAAAATCATTGATCCTACATGCTGCATAGTATTCCACTGTGTGAATGTACCACAACTTCTCAATCTATTAATTTGTGGTTGGACATCTGGGCTGTTTCCATGTTCATGCAATGGTGAATAATGCTGCTTTGAACACTGGTGTACAAATCTCTGCTTGTGCCTCAGTTCTCATTTCCTCAGGGTATATTCCAAGCAGTGGAATAGCTGGGTCATATGGAATTCCTATGTTCAGTTTTTTGAGGAAGTGCCAAATCGCCTTCCAGAATGGTTATACCATTTTACAATTAAAAAAAAATGTATGAGTTCCTATCTCATCACATCCTCTCCAACATTTATTACTTGCTGCCCTGTTAAACTTTACCACTGCTATTGGAGTAAGATTATATCTAGTTGGGGTTTTGATTTGCATTTCTCTTATGCTCTTGATCTGGAGCATTTCTTCATATGTTGGCTGGCCATTTGGATATCTTCCTCTGTGAAAATTCTCTTTATGTCTTTTGCTGATTTTATTATTGAGTTACCAGTCTTTTTCTTGTGGAGGCCCAGGAGTATTCTGTAAACTTTCGTTATGAGACTTGAGACTGTGTTCCCAGTCGGTAGGTTTTCTTTTCATGCTGTTGAAAAAAGTTTGTGATGTACACAGGGATTTAATCGTTGGAAGGTCCCATTCATCAATTTTATCCTCTTCAGATTGTGCATTTCTGGCTGTATTTGGCAGTCTCTTTTTGCCATAGATTAGGGCTTGTAAGCTTGATCCCAGTTAGTCTCTTATGGACTTTGTTTTGGGGCTTTACTTCCAGGTCTTTGATCCATCTTGAGTTGATTTCTGTGTATGGGGTAAGATGTGGATCTTGTTTCACTATATGCATGTAGAAGTCCAGTTTTGTCAGCACCATTTGTTGAAGAGGTTGTCATTTCCCAATTTGATAGGTTTTATTTCCTTGTCGAATATCAGTGGACCATAGAAAGCTGGGTCTATTTCTGGGTTCACAATTCTGTTCCATTGGTCTATGGGCCTGACACTGTACCAGTACCATGCTGTTTTGGTTGCTCCTGCTGTGTAGAAGGTTTTGAGGTCAGGGAGTGCTATTCCTTTCACCTCATTTTTGTTTCTCAGAAGAGTTTTGCATATTCGGGGTCTCTTGCCTCTTCAAATAAATTTTACAGTTTCCCTTTTGATCTCCTTGAAAAATGAATTTGGTATCTGGATTGGGATTGTGCTGAACATGTAGATTGCTTTTGGGAGGATTGTGATTGTCATGATTTTGAGTCCTCCTATCCATGAAGAGGGTACATTTTCCCATTTCTTTAGGTCTTTTATTGTGTCTTGTAGAAATGCTCTGTAGTTTTCTTTGTATAGGGCTTCTCTATCTCTAGTTAGGGTCACTCTCAAGTATCTCAATTTGTGGTTGGCTATTGTAAATGGTATTGCTTTCTTGACTTCCTTCTCTGAGCTCTCTTTGTTACTACAGAGGAATCCCTTC